CAAACATTAGAGCATATTTATTGAACAGTTTGAGAGTTTTCTGGACAATTGGATTTCTGAATTGGATCCAGATCCAGATTTGGCCAATCGTGGGACGCGTGTCTTAACGGAAAGCCTGAATCGTCTCGAATTCGAGAAACATCGAAATTATTTATTCTATCTCGTATACGCTGAAGAATGGTGGGAAATATGTATACCAAGCAATAATCGCTAGAGAATTATAGCACACTATTAATCGAGTGCGTAATAATCAATTTCAAATGTGCAAAATTTTTGACAAGAAGAATGTTCTTTTCTCAGAGAAACGTGACATACCACGGTTCTTGTTAAACAAAATATTTACTCCTAAACAATTTCTGCTCGATGATGGACGCCACGAAATCGATGACAATCGATTCTAAAAATCACTTTCACCGGATATTGACGGGATCGATCGTCGAAGGAGGGAGACAAAGATGCTTTCCATTCGAGAAGTTCTTACGTTTCGCATTGCTTCTCCTTTCTTCGCGAAGGGCGGAGAAATTCAATCGAGCTCTCGTCGATTGTTCTCCACCGCGAGTGGAGTGTACCGCGACAATGACGTTGACGTACACGTACGAGAATCACCGCATTATGGCGAATTACAGCTCGAGTGCGAGTAGAGACAGAGGGACGGAGAGTAGGAGGGAAATCTCTTTGAAAGCAACACCATTACCCGTCTATCGATACGCAAATATTTCACTCGGCCGGCACCAATTATTCCCATTGAGGTAAACCGTGCTCGGGCCGGGGTTTAATCGCGGCCATTCATACAAATTGAAAGATAACCGGTAGCCGTCAAACGCAGTTGCCGCGGCGCTACAGTCCGCGGTAGTTTCGCGTTTCGGCGTATTAAAAATTAACCGAGCTGGAATAGGCGAAACAGAGTGAAAACAGCGCCGATAAATCCGACGAGAATTGGGTCCCTCGGTGGGGAGGAGTCTCTCTCTCTCGAGTTCTCCATCTCGGCGATTATCGTTGATAACTTATTCAAGTGTAACGAGTTAGAGCCTCGTTTTCCACCTATAGAAAGCGAGCAGCGCCGATCCTTCATCGGGATGCGCGCGTGCTCGCGTATCCCGGAATTAATTCGACGGGAATGCGAAAAGGATTAGCGACGTTTTGAGTAAGCCGTTGCTAACAATGCAACGTTGTTCCCTCCTCGCGGTCTCAGGCTGCATGTACACATTCGGCGAGGCAAAGTCTCTCGGAACTTCGTCGCGCAATATGGCTGGGGTACGGGATTGATGTTGCGCGCAACAAGTGGAGAACAAAGTTTCATTCGAAATACGTACGTATACGGTACAGCCGTGCATTCTCTCCGCGCGAGCGCGTATCACGGGCATTAAAGAAAACGATCGAGCAGAAGCAAATGTCGCGTTATCTGTTACGTATCTCCGCACGCGACTTCGAGCGTCGACCCGTCGAGAGCGCACGCGATATAAAATACGAAATTCGCGAATTCACTGAAACGGCACTTTTTCCATCGTTGTCGTTTTGTTTTTTTTTCTTTTTTTTTTCGCCATTCAACGAGACGGTTCGCAGAGCAAATTGAACTAATTGAGCATTGTCCTGTAAAGCGGCACTGCGCGTGGCAAAGTGTAACTCATGCGCGATAATTGCCGGCGTGGCTGGCAACTTCGCCCTCGCGACCTTTCAACGGTGACGTTGTTCATCTACGATTTCTCAAAACTCTGGCACGAGCCGCTTGAACGTGTTGCGAATAGCACACGCCAGGCTGGCTCGAAACGCAATCGCGTTCCGCCGAGAGAAGGAACAATGGCCGCATTAAGGCTAACTCCGTATTCCATTTTACACGCGATCGCCGATACAGATAAAAACGCGAGATACAGATAGGCGCGTTCAAACGCGCGGATTTTCACCGAGTGGAAATTGGAATTCTAAAGGCTATTCTAAACGATGACGGGTCGCTGTTCCGCGAACTCGCTGTGGTAAACGAGTACGACGTGAGCCAGCGAACGTATCCAAAGCGAGGAGTTAAGGGGTGGGGGGAGTAGCGGAAACAGGAGGATCACCCGGAAAATAGGTAGCGTTCTTCAGGACGGCTCTCCGGGCCGTGAAATGGCGCGACGCGCTGCGCTCGGGTAACTCCAACGCTTCTCTCCACCGACGTGGTATCTGATAACACAGACGTAAACCTGAGATAACACCCTTACATACTAACCACCGATGCCAGTGCTTTAAGTTCGAAGATAGTCAGGGGTGTATGTTCATCGCGTACGACAGATAAAGTTGCTCGGAGGGCCGACTGCACGAGAAAGAGAGAGAGAGAGAGAGAGAGAG